ATAATACCTAAAGCAACCATTTATAAAACTACACAAAGAGATATACTCAAAAGTACTGTAGATAGAACAGAATTCTAAAATATGCATGCAGCCCACAGAAAGACTGGAAAAATAAAACAGAGAAAAGGAAAATAGAACAAAAAAAAAGCAATAAAGAAAATGGAAGACTTAAGCCCTAACATATCAATAACTATATTAAATGAAGTGAACTAAATTCAGCAATTGAAAGATGGAAAATGGCAAAGTGGATTACAAAAACATGACTCAACTGTATGCTATCTATAAAAACTTATTTTCAAATATAACAATATAGTAAGTATGTTGAAAGTAGAGAGATGGAAAAATATATCTTGCAAACTTTAATCAGAAGACAACAAGAGTTGTATTATCAATAGAAGATAAAGTAGGAAAATCCCCACTTAATAAACAACACATTTCTAAATAATCCATAGGTCAAAGAGAAAGTCTCAAGGGAAATAAAGAAGAAGTAAATCAATTTAACTGAAAGAAAATGAAAATAAAGCATATCAAAATAGGCGGGACACAGCTAAAGCAGCGATGAGAGGTAAATTTATAGCACTAAACATTTATATGAGAAAAGAGGAAAAGTCTCGAATCAACAATTTAAACTCCCAACTCAAGAACCTAGAAAAAGAAGAGTAAATTAAACTCAAACAGATAGAAGGAAATAATACAGATGAAAGCAGAAATCAGTAAAATCGGGAGCACTAAAATAATAGAAAAAAATCAATGAAACAAATGGCATGTTCTTCAAAAAGATTATATAATATTGAAGAACCTTTAGCAAGACTGACAAAGAAAAAATGAGAAAATATGCAAATTATCGATATTAGGAATTAAACAGAGAATTACTGCAGACCCTAAAGGCATCTAAAAGATAATAAAGGAATGCTCCCAATGAATCGACATACATAAATTTGACAATTTAGATGAAATGGACCTCAAGAATCACAAACTGTCATAATTTGTCTAATATGAAATTAGTAATTAAAATAACCCTATAACTATTAAGGAAAACGAATTTGTAATTTAAAGGCTGAAAAAGGAATCTCCACGCCCTTATGGTTTCTCTGGCGAATTCTACCAACACTTCAAAGAAGATTTAATACTATTTCTACATAATCTTTTCCAGAAAATAGAAGAGGAGGACCACTCTCCAATTATTTGTATAAGCTAGTATTACCTTGATACCAAAACTAAACAAAGCAATACAAAAATGATGCAGATACAAAAATCATCAACAAAATATTGGCAAATAGTATTCAGCAATGTAGACTCTTCTGTGATTAAGTGGGAATTATTCCAGGGATGCAAACTGGCTCAGTGTTCAGAAAAATCAGCATAACCCACCACGTTAAAAGGCTAAAGAAAAAGAATCACATGATCATATTAATTGATGCAGGAAAAGCATTTGACAAAATTCAGCACAACAGTATACTTACTAGTGAAAGATGAAATGTCTCCCCTTCAAGTTTTGGAGCGAGCCAGGGATGTCAGCTCTCACCACTGTTACTCAATCATGCTGGAAGGGTCTAGCCATGTTTATTAGGCTAGAAAAGGAAATAAAAACCATGTAGGTTGGAAAAGAAGAAATAAAACTACCTGTCCTTGCAGATTACATGATTATCTATGTAGAACATCACAAGAAATGTACCCCCCTCAAAAAAAACTCTGTGATAAGTCAATTCAGCAAGATTGCAAGATAAAAATGAGCATACGAATAGATTGTATTAATACATCTAGATATTAGCAATGAACACTCAGACACCAATATTAAAAAGAGAATATAATGTAAAGTTGCTCAAAAAAATAACACAGGCATCAATCTAACAAAACATGTATTTTCTATGCTGTGAACTACAAAATGCTGATAAAAGAGATCAAAGAAGGCCTTAATAAATGGAGAGATATACGCTATTCATGGATTAGAAGGCTCAGAATTTTTTTAGTTTTTTGTTGTTGTTGTTGTTGTTTTTGTTGGGGGTTTGTTTGTTTTTGAGACAGAGTCTTGCTCTTTTGCCCATGCTAGAGTGCTGTGGTGTCAGCCTAACTCACAGCAACCTCAAACTCCTAAGCTCAAGTCTCCTTCCTCAGCTCCCGAGTAGCTGGGACTACAGGCATGCGCCACTACCCCTGGCTAATGTTTTTTTTCTATTTTTAGTAGAGACAGGTTTTGCTCTTGCTCAGGCTGGTCTGGAACTCCTGACCTCAAACGATTCCTCCTGCTTCGGCCTCCCAGAGTGCTAGGATTACAGGTGTGAGCCACCGCACCCAGCCAATTTATGCAACAATCTTGATGAGAATTTTACTGAGTGAAAACACCAACCCCAAAATATGACATACTACCATTCCATTTATATAACATTCTGAAAGTGACAAAATTATGAAAATGGAGAACAAATTAGTGGTTGCTAGGGGTTAAGAAGAAGGTTGAGGGGAATGGTTGAAAGGGAACCAGATGTGATCATAAAAGGTAACATGAGAGAAATGTTTGTATATTGGCCGTATTGATGACAGTGTCCTCATTATCACAGTGTTTTTTGCAAGATGTTACCATTGATAGTATCTAGGTAAAGAACGAGTGGGTCTCTCTGTATTATTTCTTACAACTGTGAATCTACAGTTATTTCAAAATAAATAGTTATTTCTATCTTACTGTGTAGACATAGTGTAGACCATGAATTCTAGTGCAAAACTCCCTAGGTTCGATTCCCAGTTTTGCTGTGTATCAACAGATGTTGTTCTTGGGCAAATTTTCTCACCTCCCTGGCCTTACTTCTCTCATTTGTAAAGTGAGACTAATAATTTTTTTTTTTTTTTTTGAGACAGAGTCTCACTTTGTTGCCTGGGCTAGAGTGAGTGTCGTGGCGTCAGCCTAGCTCACAGCAACCTTAAACTCCTGGGCTCAAGCAATCCTCCTGCCTCAGCCTCCTGAGTAGCTGGGAGTACAGGCATCTGCCGCCACCATGCCCGGCTAATTTTTCATATATATTAGTTGGCCAATTAATTTCTTTATAGTAGAGACAGGGTGTCGCTCTTGCTCAGGCTGGTTTCGAACTCCTGACCTTGAGCAATCCGCCCACCTTGGCCTCCCAGAGTGCTAGAATTACAGATGTGAGTCACCATGCCCGGCCGAAACTAATAATTTTAATGCTAATAATACTTCCCTCATGGGGTTTTTGTAAGGATTAAACAAATTGTAATATATTTGTAAAAGACTTAGGATAGATTCTGATAGTTGTAAGTAGTTAAGTAGTGGTGGTGGTGATTGCTGTATTACCTTTTATTTGTTATTTTTCTTTTAATACGATTGAGATGGCGTGTATACATTTGCACATTGTTTTTCACTTAAGCCATAATATTTTTTCTTTGCCGACTAACAACCTTTGACTCTAAAATAAAGACCTTTGGCAATCCTCCCACCTCCTGTATTTACAGTCTAAACTTCAAAAAAAAACTTTTTTTTTTTTTAATTTCTTGTTTTCATGTCTGGTTTGTAGCCAAAACTACTGGACTTGGAGTGTTTTGGTACTCCACCCACTTAGCTGCATAGTGGATGAAGGGCTCAAGCAGAGCAGAATCTTGTGCCAGACACTGCTTTGGGAAGTCTGAATGCTTTTAGACATTCTGGTGACATTTCTAACATGATTGAAGAGCAATATCCTTGGGAATGTCTCTGTACACTTTCAGTCTTCAAGGCCCACTTACTGTCTGTTGAAATACTTCATCTAGAATTAAACCTTGCCCTCAGGAAGGCAGTTGGGTTACATGGTTAGCCTATCCTAGCTTTTTCTTGGCCCAGGTTCTATTTATGATAGGTAAATTGGGGTTGCCTTCAGTCTGTCCAAAGCATGCTTTAGGACCCTGTGATTAATGATGTGTACTAGTAGTTTTGAGTCATTTATGTGAATTGAGGTGGTTTTCACGCTGTCATGAGAAATCTTATGTAATCTAATGAGTGAAATAACAACCTTCTTTGTGAATTCCAGCATCCAAGATTTAAGTCATAGATAAATTTAAAATGAATTGGAATTTGCTCTTTGACAAATGTGAAGACTAGAATAAGTCTAGACAAGTTTAGACAGTATAGGCAAGGGGTGTCATTTATAACTCATTTTGCAAAAATAAAACTGGTATTACATTTTAAGCTTTCAGTAATTGAATGATTATATCTTAAGTAAGTAAAAAGCCTGCCTAAGACACTCCCCAAGCCATTTTGTCATTCTCTTCTCAGGCTCTCTTCTGGTTTGGGTTTTGATGAGCCTCAGAAAGCCAGTACCCCAAAACGAAGGCCTCAGAAGCACGTTTTTCTTTACCTTCTCCTGTCCTGTCGTCCTGCCTCTGAGTCCCATTCTTCCCTGAGGCTAGCTGTAGAAACTAGCATCCCTCTTCTCCAGAGCAAATCATGAAAGCCAGAACCCCATCTCCCCAAAAGCCATCCGTAAAACCTAAAAGTATTCTGTGTAAAAACTGGCTGTTAAGAAATGACCTGACCTACCTTGTTGGACTGTAGATGTTAAGACCCGCATTCCAGATAGGCTCTGCCCGTATCCAGAAGAAGGGAATGCAGCTCAGAGAGGCCAAGAAGGATCTAGACAGGCCTTGCTGGGTTTTCCCACTCAGTCTGCTAGCATTAGATCATACCCTTTTGTGGTCCAATCATATTTCTACAAAGTTCATACTTTGTTGAATCTAAGCATAAAAATAGATGCTCTATTTTGGGGTCTTGATTCTGAAGGTGCCCATGTAAACATGCTAAATAAATTTATTTGTCTTTTTCTCCTATTAATCAAGGCCTTGTGTCAGTGTTTTTTCAGCAAACCTTTAGGGGGCCAGGGGCCTTTGGTCCCTATGTTTGCTGTTAAAAAGTATCTTTGCTTTGGTTGGGGTGCAAATATTCAAGAGTGTATAATTCTGTTATTGGGCTTTTTGCATTTTTTCTTTTCAAAAAAATTCTTGTTTTTGTTTCTGGGTTGCAGCCATAACACAAAAACAACATCTTGGTTAGACCCTCGGTGCCTGAACAAGCAGCAGAAGCCTCTGGAAGAGTGTGAAGATGATGGTAAGGGAACAGGAAGGTCTTGGGTTAAGTGAGTTGGGGCTCATTCATTCACATGTGCAGATTTTAAAGAGTTCAAGCAAGGTCAATTGGTTTTAACAGTGTGCTTTTAAAAGGTAATCCAAATTGTGCTGTGGTTTACAAAAGCAGGAGGAAGGTCAGTAGATTCGTTTCAAAAGAAAGATTTGTTTTCATACAGAGGTACATGCATACTAATAACTCCATTAGAAACTGAACTTCAGCACAGTCAGAAACTGTTCAAGAACATCCTCTGCCTTCGGGAACTTGGAGAAGACTCCAGAAAGTCTCTAGGAATATAGAAACCAAAGTAGCTCTGGTCACACACACCTAGTGAACCCTGACACTACGTTATGAGACCTTATGTTGGGAGGGAAAAAAAAATCAGGAGCCTTTCTTGAACTCTACATGCTTTATAACTCTATCTGTCACTTGCCCAGTCTTGGGGGGTAGGAGAAGCAGATCTTGACACATTTGGGAATCTCTGTGTCACTTAGAGTACACCCCAAATACCTGAAAAGTGTGTTCTTTCTTGAAGACAATGAGGTGTTAACATAGAGCCTCACTCTCCCCTTTAATCTCAGAAACAGACTAACTGGCTGTAAGAGTTTTGGCTGAAAAAGATTTTAGGGCTTTGGAATTCTCCCAAATGAGAAGAAAAATTCAGACAGAACGAGTGTGTCCCTTTTAGGTACACCGAAGTCTCTCCCAAGTTCTACCAAAATTACTTTTTGACCTGGATGAATGAAAAGGGAAATGATTTGCCGTGGTCCTCACTATTTAATTCTGGCATTTGAATCAGTATAATCATTGAATACATTTTTACAGTGATATAACAAAACTTTATTAATTTGTCCTATATAGTGCAAAATCGTTGTATATATGAACTTGAGGATTTTTTTGAAAATGCAAGCCAGTATTTTAAAGTATATTATTGAAACCTGTACTCCATGATTTTTCCTTATGCATGGTTTGCAGGTTACATGAAGTGAACTTAGAATTGTGTGTCCATGTTCATCTGAGTGACTTCAAGTGGAAGTACAAGTCCTTCTAATTTAGGAGGCATGGCTGAGATGCTTGTTTTATTTTGGTTGCTTGGTCTTGTTCCCGAAAAGGGAATGGAACAGGTGATGTCAGCACTGGTATTTTGTATGCTTGGGGGATAATGGACTGTCTGAATTACTTAAATATCTGTTTAATATATAATACAGGTTGAGTATCCCTGGTTTGAAAATCCAAAATGCTTCAAAATCCAAAACTTTTTGAATGCCAACATGATCATGCTCAAAGGGAAATGCTCATTAGAACATTTTAGATTTTGGATTTTTGGATCAGGGATGCTGAATTGGAATATTTAATGCAAATATTCTAAAAATCCGAAAACATCTAAAATCTGAAACACTTCAGGTTCCAAGAATTTCAGAGAAGGAATATTCAGCCTGTACATAGGTAACCAGTTTTCAAAGATCAGAACCTAAAACACATTCAACCATAGAACTTCATGGAACAAAATTTAATCTTTATTTGATACTTGATGATTTTGAAGGCAATTTAGGCACTCTTACTACCATAAGATCTTCAATGTCAATATCCATTGTAATTATCTTGGGAATGTATGAAAATACCTGCTAATATAATTTTATAAATGATAGAATTCTGCAATAGGTTTTACTGAAAAACTGTAAGTATTGAGTAGAATTATTGAACATTTTTGTTACCAGATCTAGTAATTATTAATTCTTCTTATTTGCATTAACATTTCCTTTGGAACAAGTGTCTATTTATGCCAAATGCAATTAGTTTAGTAATTATCCCTTCAACATTAAGATCAATATATCCTATTTTTAATAGAAAGTATATATATGTTTATGTGCCTGTACACACAAACGGCATAAAATATATAATCAGGCTGTGACAAGCATCAGTTCGCATTTTCTGTTGCCAGTTAACATAAAGCTACCTGTGTTATTGTTTATATTATGACACAAAGCAGAAAAACATATTGGTCACAAATATTGTTCCTCTATTTCTTTCTACTCGATTCTCTATATAGCTCACATATACATGGAGTATAACAGTATAGCATCCTACCTAATTATTGTAAAGATTTTGTATTTTTTATTTCCTATCCCAAAAAAGTGAAAAACTAGTTTGGGATTTTGATCTTAGTGACTAACTCCTTCTGTCATTGCTGTGTCTAATTCAAGCAGAAACCTTTGACTTGGGCTTTGAGCTCCAAGCCAATATTTCAATCCACCTGGTTCATAACACTAACTGTTGTCTCGAAGAGACTTCAAACTCATTCTGATTAGAACCAAACTCATGATCATTCTCTCCAAAATCTGGTCTTCTCCAAGTGTTCCCTGTCTCAGTTTAGGGTCAATTCATGCATACTCAAGAGAGATACCCCTTCAATCTGTCACTTTTCTTTACACCCATTTGAAACCTATGAACCAGCTGGATTCACTTTGGTCTTCTAAATAGCTCTAGATCCATTCACTATTTTTTTCCACCATTTCTGCCATGCTTGTCTGTTCAGGGTCATGATCATCCTTCGTGCAGTCTTGCCTGCTCTCCTCGTTAGCTGCGCTCTGAGCAGTCTGCTAAAGGGTAAAAGCGGTGGGCTGCTCTGGAAATGTCAGGTCCACAGCCTGTTTCTCTCTGCCTCTTCGGTTTTCCCTCCCTCCCCCTCCCTGCCCTTCATCCTCACCTGTCCTCATTGAGTTCCTGCTTCATGTCAGTTACATGTGCAGCTCTGTCTTCTAGAATCCTCTTCCACCTCGCAGCCGGTCATTGAATACCTTCTGCATGTCAAATGTGTTCATTTCACATTTCACATTTCTCAGTTAACACAACAGGCGAAAAGCCCTGTTCTCGTAGAGCTTAAATTCTAGTCCTTTTTCCCCCAAAGTCTTTTTTGTCATTTTTCTGTTTATTCTTCAGATTATGGCTCAGGGACTTTTTCATAAACTTTGCCCCCAGATGCAATTAGGTCACACTATTACGTACCTTACCCTGTAGAGAATTTATCACAGTTTTAATTCTAGTTTTATTTATAGGAGCTTTGGACTTGTCTCCTGTTCTAGAAGGGCGGAGATATGTCTCATGGAGCTCATTGTGATATATATCTCTGTCACCTGTTACAGTGACTGGCACAATAAAGAAACAAACAAATGTTCCCAACGACATGATTAGGTAGTATCCAAATGGGCATATTCATGGATGATTTTGTGTAAATCAGATCCCCCCACCCTACCTTTTTTTTTGAGGCAGGATCTTGCTCTGTTGCCCCGGCCAGAGTGCAGTGGCGTCACCATAGCTCTCTGCAACCTCAAACTTCTGGGCTCAAGTGATCCTCCTGCCTCAGCCTCCCAGAGTGTTGGGATTACAGGTGTGAACCAGGGTGCCTGGCCAGCTTCCCCTTTTAATAAACAATGCCAGTCAACATTTACTATTGGCAATGGGATCTTTTTAAATCAAGAGTTACAGGGTGTGGAGGGCTATGTTGGTTACTTAACTGAATAATTGATTGATTGATTGATTCATTCATTCATTCATTCAAGAAACACTTAGTGCCTAACATGTACCAGAAACCACACTGGGCACTGAGCATGATGGGATGGTAAAAACAGGCTTGAATCCCTATTTTCCCTGTGTTTGTGGAGCTTAAAGTGGAGGAGGGGTGGTATGGCCACCTGCCCTGTAGCCCTGAAAACTTTAGGTATGAAATGATTTTTTGCATGTTGTCCTGTGTTCTCATTCATAATGAAATGTTTTCCTGATAGCAAGAGGAGGAGGTCAAGAATGCAAAGGATTTTGACTTGTTTTGCTCACTGAAATTTTTGAGATTATTTTTCATTCTCATATTTCTGAGCTGTTTGACTCAGAAAACTTACACATATATAAACAAAAGGCCAATAAGCTCTGCCTCCCAGTACTCCTCCTGGGCAGCCTTCAAGGCTTGCCTCCTTGTTGCACATCATCATGACATAGTGCATCTTTCTGGCTCCTCTTCGAAAGGCATTGGAGTGTAACTCACTGTACAGTCTGCATTCTCAAGTTGACCTCACTTTCCATGTTCCAAGCAGCAGTATCACTTGTAAGTTAAATAATGCTTTAATTGCCAGTGTAATTGCCTCACTGATTAGAGGATTATTGAAGAATTAAAAGGACTGATATTGAAAGGTCTAACAGCTTTGTTTACTCCCAGTAAGATCTGTAATAAGCGACTTCCCACTTTAAGAACATTCAAACCGCCAAGGTGTTTGTCATCTTTTACAACCAATCAAATCTGATTTTGACATGCAAGGAAATGAGCCATAGAATTCTTTTGCCAATATCAGCTCTTAACCGTTTTGCGATTTCCACTGAGGTCATGAGTTTACTAGCCACGCCAGTGAAATAAGCCACAATGCAGGTAAGGCCAAACTAAATCGACGTGTTTGCTGCTGTTTTTCTAAGGGGAGTTTCCGTCTTGGTGCTGGTGTCTGAATTTTGCTTTCTCTCTTTTCTGTCTCATTCCTGCTATTCCCTTGGAGAAGAAGGGGTACACACCGAGGAGCTGGACAGTGAACTAGGTAAACCCTGCCTGCCCACCGCTACTGCTGCTGCGTGATTGCCCTGCATGGTTTTGTCTCCAGTGAATTGCTTCATCCCTCTGTTCCTTTTCAGTTTGCACTTCTCCAATTATGATTTTCATTCTAGTTTATCCACGAACGGTCAATCTTACAATCCTGTGTCTGACTGCAAGCATCAGGCAGGGTTGTAATGCATTGTGTCTACAAAGAGTTCTGAGCCAGTGGAAACTAGAACCAGAGTCAGCAAATCGGTGATAGGTGGTCTTGTAACTTGAGGATTGGGAAAGAACTGAAAAGATGCTTGCCGTGTTCCTTGAACTTTCATGTAACCTGTTCTGGCCTTATTTCTTTATATGTTTAGTGCGGGTGGTTATTTGGGTAATGCACAAAAGCAAAACAAACAAAGACCCAAAGGCAAAGGTAAGGAGCATTGTAGGAGTAGGTACAGTAAAATAAATTCAATGATTAATTACATAGTTAAGTCTTAGGGTCATGTTGTTGTTAAGTCACAGACCACATGTTGACCATGTCATTATAGTGAATGGCTTGTGTATATAGTGATGCGGTGTTTATATGTGCTGTTTTCCTTAGAGTATGTGTATTAGTGTAAATTAAGTCTTGAGTATTCTAGCTATTGTGGTTTAGGAATAATTTACATTAGCAGATAATGCCAAACTCTTGTATTTGCTGTTGGAATATATTGAATTATGTTTCCTGCTAAGTTCAGTGCTTTCTGTTCAGCTTTGAAAAATATTAAAATGAGTTTGCATTCCATTTGATGTATCCTCTGATGGATAGATAGGAAAGCACAAGCTTCATCTGAATTGCAGATAAAAGCCTTTGCTATTGAAATTGGTAATAATTTTTTAAGTAGAAAACTGTTTAACATCAGCATGAATGGAACTGTCCTAAGATTATCTGCCTGCATTTTTTTTTTTTTTTTTTTGAGACAGAGTCTTGCTCTGTTGCCCATGCTAGAGTACAATGGTGTCATCATAGCTCACAGCAACCTTAGACTCCTGGTCTCAAGCGATCCTCATGCCTCAGCCTCCCTGGTAGCTGGGACTACAGGCATGCACCACCATGACAGGCTCATTTTTAAATTTTTTGTGAAGACAGGGTCTCACTGTGTTGCCCAGAGTTGTCTCTAACTCCTGGCCTCAAGCAGTCTTCCCACTATGAGCCCACCAAAGTGCTAGGATTACCACTTTGAGCCACCGTGCCCAGTCTGCCCGGCATTTTTGAGGTTGACTTTAAGACATGAAAATATATTCAATACAGGTTATTGCTTTCATTTGGTTCTATAGGTAAAGATAATCATAGTTGACTAGAATTATGATATAATAGAATTTAGGTCTATTTTTCTTAATATCTGGAACATAGCCTGTTGTAATTGATGCACATGCCAACAGTGGTCAATAACTATCGGTAAATCTATTTTTAAAGATGTTTAATAAGTTGTTTTTGTGATCTTTGTGTTAGGAATGGCTTGAGGTTCACTCTGAGTAATAGAATAATTCGAAACTAATTTGATCAAAAAAAGAATTCATCGATTCAGTGATATTAGACAAAGTGATTGAAAAAGACAACTAGGTTTCCCAGATGCAGAATGGGTGCCTTAACCATTTGTTTAGCCGGTTTCAGCCAGTCTTGCTACCCGAATGACCGTGCGGGTGGCCATTCCACTGTCTGCGGTTGGCCAGTGGTGATGACACAGCCGTGTACACAGGCGCACAGCCCCACTTGCTTTTAGGAAAGTTTGAATATTGACATTTTCAGGAAAGACGGTTCTCTGTGTTTAACTTTGATTTTCGTGGGGACTTCCTTAGGCCATTAAAGATTCTAAAAAAATGAGTTCGAACGGCTGCAATGGCGCGCCTTCCTGTGGCCACGGCTGTCATTCCGGGGCCAGTTTGGTGCATTTGTGGTGCTTGTCCCTGTGGTCAGAACAGGGTGCTTGGTTCTCCTGTCTTACTGGCCATGTGACAGTAGGCAAAGTTATCGCCTTCTTTTAGCTTCCCTTATCTGTACAGAGGGGCTGAAAGAGGAGCTCTCATGGTGCTTGGGAGAACACTTAGTGAGAGCACGTTTTAGTATTTGTCCCTGTAACCAACGTATGTTGTTCCTATTACGAGTTTTATTATTACCTAGTTTCCTCTGCTTGAACTTTGCAGTACTTCCTGTTGGCACTTTGTCCTTTTAACAGGGGACAAGGCAGGAACGTATCCTGTCCTGTAGAAACGGCCCACATGCGTTCTTTGTAGGTAGGGTAGAGATATAACCCTTGATTTTTTTTTTTTTTTTTTTTTTTTACCAGCGCACACACACTGTTCTCTGTTGTATTCCCTCCAGATTCTATTGACAAGATCACTGCTCATTTTCTTAATAAGAGGGTCCTAATTTCAAACAATAGCAGCTGTCAGGGTTTGTGGTGAACAATGCAATTCCAGATGTGACAAAGAAACCCTTTCTGTGATCTGCCTCTGAGAGGCGTGGGTGGTTGGCTTGGGCGTTGGACACAGATCGTTTGATTATACACTTGTCATTTCTGAACTCTGTTGTTTGAGCTGGGTCAGTAGCTCCATTATGCACTTTGGGTTTCTAGAATGTATCACACCCTCTGCAGACATCTCCCCAGAATCAAAAAGCACCTGCAGAACCTTTTGGAATTATGGGGCTGTTCACGTGCTGAAACCATCCAGGGGAGGCAGAGGCAGGAAAAATGAGTTCCCCTCCCAAGCAAAACTAAGTCACAGTTTTGATTTTTCATCTCTGATTTTGAACATGATTTTCAGTCTGTGCGCTGACTAATCTCTTTTGGAAAGAACTTAGAATCTTTGACTGCTCGATATTTGCTTCTGTGCTGACAACACGGTGCAGCATGAGATTTTCGGGGGCAGTAGTAGCAAGCATGCAGGTCATAGAAATCTGTCCTAGCCCTTTGTGCTTTCCTGGAGCACCTGCCATCTGTTGAATTCTTGCTGTGTGCCAGGCACTGAGTGCTCAGTGTTTTTACAAGCATCTTCATTTAATCTGCTGTTGACTTTTGAAGTAAACCCTGGAGAACGATGTGGTTCAGAGATGTTAAGTAAGTAGCCCAGGGCCACAGAGCAGTAGAGCTATGTGGAAGAGCCAGGGCTCAATCCCAGATCTGGGCAGTGCCAAAGGGCTTTCAGCCACCTCGGATCTCTGCCGTAGCTCATGCAGTCTGGTTTGCTCCCTGACCGCGGTTAGACACGGAGGGATGCCCCTTTAGGATTCCTCAGCATGTTTGGTAAGAAAAATTATAATGTAATCACCATCTGGGCTTAAATATTTTCTGCCATTTTCAGTGTTTTAGAACCAAATGGCAAATTCTAGGACAAACATCTTCCTTAATTAAATCGATGACCTATTTCTATTTTAGGTGCTAGGAGACTAATTTCTATTATTAAGTTAATCACCACGTTGGAAGTGAGAAATCTGTCTTTTCAATATAATATGAGTTTCGACTTGAAAAACTGGACAGATTCTAGCGTTTGCTAATCTGTTCCCAGAAGATGTATTCAAATCGATGGCATGCCCAGCAATGCCAGTGAACTGGCCCCATTTTTCAACTCTAGAACAGTGATTTGTTCACTAAGCAACAGGACAAAAGTCAGGGGTAGCTTCTTTTCTTGACCCCTCCTCAGACCTCCCCCAGAGCACACGCCACGTGTTTGAATTCTCTGCTTAGGGGATGTACTTGCGTTTATCTTTGTGTCCCTGAGGCCTAATACATCCTCACGCAAACAGTAGGCACTCAAAAGATGTCTCTCAAATGAATAATTGAGTGAATTGGATGCTTAATATTTTCCCTATTTCATCTAAAGATAATCAGGCCTACTATTTAAAGGTTGCAGATTTTGGTAGGAGGGTTTGGTTCAATTAAACATAATGTGGTCTCCTCACTCACCCGCTCTTATGCCCCATGCAAATGTATAACTGCACCAATTTGCATTTTTTTAATCTTCGATTTCCTGACTTTTTGGAAAGATTTTCCCGGGTTCATTTTCATTTAAATGGTAATTTCCAGCTTTGTAAGGGGAAACCATTTCCCAGGCATTTAATTTGCATCGGTCTGCAAGACTCCGTGTATGAAAACGCCAAGTCGTATCAACATCTGCGAATTGGACCTGTCTTGCATATTAGTAACTTATGTCTCCTAGAATTCAAAGACTTCCTTAAAACCTGCTAAGTGTTTTTTTTTTTTTAATTAGAAGAAAAGAAGGGGGAAACCTGTCTCTTTGTTTGCAAACAAGTAATATGTGGAGCAAAAACCATGATATTAATGTCTCTTGATGTGCAGCCAAATCTGAACAAAACATAAACTTTGAGTAATTAGTCTGTGCGTGTTTGTATGCATGCTCTTGCCTCCATCTCAGTCTGGAACTGTTTGTGGCATACATAAGCCCTCTGCCCCAATGACATGGTCATTATTTGAAAATAGTGACCACGTAATTCTTTGAATTAAAAAAAAAAATCTGTTTTAAAATAAGCGATATTTCAAGTGTTTGTAGTATTCCATTCTAGTTGGTCTTAATAGTTGCTTCTGGGAATAATGATTCACTTTTGAGTATGGTATTATACAAGCTTGGCTTAACCACATAGATCAGGGTAGCTTTAAAATTAAGTCGAGTAATTGCGGCTCTGCCTGAAGGGACTGTTTAATGACACAAAACGCAACCTCCTTGCTCCTTTCACCAAGTAAAATAATATGGTACACTGGCCCTTTCCACAATAGATTCTTGTTCTAACCGAACTCACTATTACCTGTTTAATAAAGTTTCAGCCTTTGATATGAAACCTTATGAGGTTATGAAACCTTATGAGGTCTAATAGAGCATGGTTGAGTTTTCTGAAAGGCAGATCCATCCAACCCCCAATGCCATTTACCACCACGTTTAAAGAGATGAAATATCCCTTGTCCATTTTCTGCGAGTAGGAGTGTGCTGCTGCTTTCATAGGAAAATTGCTGGGGAACATGGGCCAGCCCAAATACAGCAACTGAGCGATAGATGCATGCAGTTCAAAAACGCAACTCCATTTTAATTAGGAATAAGGAGAAAATAAGACGCAGATTTGATTTTAGTCCAAGGGGAGCAAAACAGCATTATTGTTTTGAAAATGAAAAGAAGCATTAATTTTCATCCCTTTTGGTAGTGAAATAAAGGTAGTCTAGAAACAAAATGAGAAAACTGTAAACATTTAAGGGCAAAACTAGGCATCGAGGCACGTTTTAACTATTTTTCTATTAAGATCTAATTTAATAGTTGATTTAGAATCAAGCTGTCTGGGGCTGTATTTTATTATGTTTTATTTGCTTGAGTACAATACCAGTGGATAAGGAATTGCTCTTCATGTTGGAAAATACACTAATAAAATAAAAATAATACATACTTTATTTTGGTTAGGGTACTCAGTTTTAATTGGATTTAGTTCCCAGGCTCCTCTTCTCGCTTTAAACATTTTTTTTATTTTTCAGAACTGCCTGCTGGTTGGGAAAAGATTGAAGACCCTGTCTATGGTATCTACTATGTAGAGTAAGTGCCTCTTCACAATCCACAAGTTAGTTCTTACCCCTCTGTAATGATGCACATTTATGTTAATAGAGCTTGTCATCATTACAAGATACAAACTACGTATTAATGCTGTTAATTGTATAATAAAAATACGTGTGCACATTTTAATGAATGAGAAACAAATCAGTGACTCAGGATAGTCAATCGTAATATTAAATTCATGAGGCTCCGTGTGTTTTGTTTACACTGTATCACCAAGGCCCAACATAGTCCTGGCATTATGGCCGCTACTTAATAAGTTTTGGTTGAATGAATGAGAGAATCCAGGATTCAGTAGACCAGATGAAGAGGGGCTACTTAACCTTTAGGAGGAGTGTCTGTTTTGACTATTAATACTTTATGCCCTGCCCAGATCTGAACATCTCAGTAATTAATCATAATAAATTATTAATTAATTAATTAATAAAAATTAATTAACTATAAAATTATCAATAAATTATTTATTTGTTTAGGCTTTCTGAAAGAGTCTGACAGATCTTAATACTTTATGAAATGTTGCCAAGATCAGGGAGGAAGTGGAGAACCCGCCTACGCTACAGGACTTCCTGTGCCTTTCTGCCTCCTTGCCTGAGGAGCGTGCACATGGCTTTTGTTTTCTGTTTTTTTGTTTTTTGTTGTTGTTTTTTTTTTGAGACAGAGTCTCCCTTTGTTGCCCAGGCTAGAGTGAGTGCCGTGGCATCAGCCTCGCTCACAGCAACCTCCAACTCCTGGGCTCAAGAGATCCTCCTGTCTCAGCCTCCCGAGTAGCTGGGACTACAGGCATGACCACCATGCCTGGCTAATTTTTTGTATATATATTAGTTGGCCAATTAATTTCTTTCTATTTCTAGTAGAGACAGGGTCTCGCTCTTGCTCAGGCTGGTTTTGAACCCCTGACCTCGAGCAATCCGCTTGCCTCGGCCTCCCAAAGCGCTAGGATTACAGGCGTGAGCCACCCACCACACCCAGCCTGTTTTTAAAAGTCTCAAATTTTCATCATGACTTCTTTAGCGTGTGCTTTATTCTAGCATCGGGGCACACACTTTTTCCTTTTATCGGAACTACTGATTAATGGTATGATTCGAAAAGAAAAGGAAAGAAAAGAAACCCAAGATTAGAGCATTGAAAAAATAGGCTTTATATCATTTCCTCTGAGAAAGATGAGAGAGAACTAATGAAAGATCCTTCAAAAGGAACAGATGTCATGTAAATGTTGTGTGTTCAGATAACTGCCACACTTCACTTGCATTGCTGGCAGTGAAGAGTCATTTGTATAATACCTGCTAATAGGAACATATGATACAAAAATGCCAGGCCATAAAATGCTCAGTGTCTTACTGTAAAATATTGAGTTCAGTATAGCAAGTGTCCTTGACCAATACTAACTTTACCTCCCCTTTACCGAACAAGAAGGATGGGCAATCTAGAGCATCAGACAGGCAAGCCTGGCTGTTTCTCTGACCCTTATAAAATAAATTTCCTTTGTCGCTCAACTAGTCTGTGCATTAAGAAAGAACAGAAACAGGCAACACAAGCTTTGGTGGATAAAGAGACTTGATTTGAAGGGGCAATTTGTTATCTTACTGTACAGTTCTCCTTCCTGCGTCTTTTCAGATCCACCTGCCTGTTAGTGGTAGACTATTTCTTAGAAAGAAATGGCCTGTAAGAATTAGTAAATAAACATGCATGCCTTTAATAGAAATTAAGGGCAATCAATCTATCCCCACCCTATTTGACAAGCCTGATATTAAAAAATAAAGCCTGGCTTTAAAAAATATTTAGAGTTCTAAATAATCACAATAGTATATTCCTAAACTTAAATGAACTATTAATTTGAATTAAAAAATATATATATATACACACACACACATATATGAATAAAGTATATATGCCTGTGTGATGTGATATTTGTGTGGTGTGTATGTATATATACATATACACTTATACACTAAATATGAGGTTGTAGCTAAAAAACATGTATATACATGTATTCATATGCACCCGTGTGTGTGTGTGTATGTGTATTTTTGTTTTTGCCATAGCTCGTTAGTTTTGTAGCCATCTAAAGTGGCAGTGTCTTTGTTACTTTGAACATATCACATCGGCATGTTTAAATATATTGGAGTCTCTGTGCCCAAGGCCTATATATTTAATCCACGTTTATTGATCCAAATAGTTGACACATGTTAGTAGAGGTCTTTTTTTTTTTTAAACTTTATTCCTCGAGTGAATGTGGATGCTTTTGTAAACCCTACTGCAGAAAGTTACACAGCAGTTCTGACATCATATGTTATAGACAACATCACCTTTCCACTTTGATCTCATTTTTCGATGATTCCATAGTCTGCTGCTTCTTGAATTAAAGCAGCTTCTCCTGTCGGGTGAGATCGTGGACATGCGGGGAGAGTGAGTGGTTAACATCCTGGGATCCGAAAGCAGGCCAGCCTGAGCTTGCGTGCCTGCTCACTGCTGACTGGCTGTCTTGTGCCAGGTGAATCATTTTATTTGTGTGCTCAGAAACTTACTTTCCTTGTTTCATAAGGTAGGAATAAAAATAGGACTCACCTCCTGGCATTTGCTCAGGGCTTTAAAATAAAATGCATGTCAAACAGCACAGCGCTTGGCACATACAAGCAGTGGGGACTAGAAGCTTTTCGTTTTTACGTCCTCTTTCTAGCTGCCCACTTTGACCCCTTGAGGGTCAGCGTGTCAGGCCGCCACCTGCTCTGCTCACTTTCCATCAGGGCAGGTGGCCTGATTGGCACTTTGCCGGCGGGACAAGACATTTCCTAATTGTTTTCCTTCTTGCTCAGCCACATCAACAGGAAGACGCAGTATGAGAACCCAGTTCTAGAAGCCAAACGGAAGAAGCAGCAGCAGCAGCCACAGCAGCCTCAGCCGCAGCAGAAGACAGAAGGTTGGCCTCTTCTTTCTGGGCTTGTTCTCGGGCAGGGCAGCTGACACCCCCGTGTGGTCAGAGCTGGCCTCGGCAGCCAAGTCCTCTGCCAGGCTGAGGAGCTCACGTCCTGCAGGGAGCAATACAGAGCTGCTGCTGGAGTCCCCTCTCCATGTCACAGGGGGACAGCTGAAACAGAGATGCTAATCCACAGGCACCCCAGTCTCCACTTCGATTTAGAAAAGAGTGTCTTTCTGATGGTGAAGGAATTCTCTTCCCCGCCCCCCCCCTTCCCTGCAGCATTTGTGTTGCAACTAGCATCTAAATCCAAACCGCTCTTAGTATTTTTTACTTTAAGTAGAGTTACTGGGCACGAAAGTAATGCTTAATTTTTGGAACATTCATGCAAGAATCAGAAAGAGCTGGTGGCTTTGAGTGCTTTCTAAAAATTACAGATTCATGTTCTTTGTAAAAATATAAATAATTCAGGAGTGTAGAACACTGAGTTCTCCCCAGCATGCCCCCTTCCCATTCTCAGAAATAAACACTATGCAGAAATTTTCTAGGGATACACGGATATGCATATTTTAACAAAATCTGATCATAACTTATATAGACACACACACACAGAGTTTGAGTGTGAGGCCTGTTTTTCTCACTTTTTATTTCTTACGCATATTTCAGAGTCAGTTAATATAGATTTAGCTTATAATTTTTAATAGCTGCGTAACGTTTCATTTTATGTCTCCACTTTAACCATCCGCTTATTAATAGACACTTTTCCCCAGTTTCTTTTTCACTGTGATCTTTTAAAATAATAGACGTGACACCCCCTTAATATAATATGTGAATATCAAACGTAACACTTCTGTTATGATACTATTGAATATAATGACAACCAGTTGGCAAACTTTTTCTGTAAATGACCAGATAGTAAATATTTTAGCCTTTGTGATTCACATCATCTCTGTTAGAACTACTCAACCTCTGCCATTGTAGAATGAAGACAGCCACAGACAATACAGAAATGAATAGGTGTGGCTGCATTCCAATAAAACATTTATTTGCACTTCATACAATTTTCATGTGTCACAAAGTATTCTTCTTTTTTTCAGCCAGTTGAAAATATAAACACAACTCTTGGCTCACAGGCGTTGGGCCCAACTTGGCCAGTAGGCCGTAGCTTGCCAACCACTGACCTAGGTTATGTAATATATATAGAGAGAAAGAGACAATGTGTGTGTATTTTGTCTGTATAGTAATTCATGGAAAAGATCTCTCTTTTCGATCTAAAAAGAACTTTTGAAAATATATTTTTTTTTTTTCTGAGCTGGTGACATTTGGTAGCATTAGCAAGTGCAGTTTGGGGGATGGGAGTGTGCAGCCGATTATGGTAACTGAGCTGGAGAGAGACTCAGGGGAACCTCTCCAGGGTCACTTGCTGTGAGTTATTCCTGGGCCTCCCAGGTGAATAAGGCTGTAGTTAGGAGCCAGGAGTATTTGTAATGAGTCCTGTTTGGATTTCATAGATGACAGAGACAGCACCTTAGCAAACTGCTGAAATCCTCCTTTATCCGCCTCTCCACCTTAGACAAGCAGGTTGCGGCAGCCCAGCCCACACCCCGGTTGCATAACTCTAGATCTTCCCTGACATTTTTTGCCTGCTCTCAGTTTGCACCGTCCAGTCAGAGAGAACCGAAGTTTTTATTGGTTATATCACAATATTTCTTTCCCCCAATGTCTTAGACAAGAGATAAAGATCTTGACAGAGTGAGGCCAGATACCAACTTCTTTTTAATCTAAGCTGTGTGCCCTTGGTTTTATTGGTTTGGGTATGATTGAGAAGAAGGTGAGCTGTGAGGAAGTCGACCAGCCATTTGAAGGAAAAAACGGGAAACTGTTTTCTCTTCTTTCTTTCAGAATGGACAGAAGAGCATTCATCTCTTGTGCCTCCTGTTATTCCAAACCACCCCCCAAGCAATCCAGAGCCAGCCAGAGAACCTCCACTTCAGGGTAACGTGGCTTTTAGAATGGTGTCATGGTTTTAGCTCAAAATCTAAAGTTGTTTTTTTATCAATTTTATTTTATTTCATCATATTATGGGGGTACAAATATTGTTAGGGTTACATATACTGCCCCTGCCGTTCCTCCCCCCACCCCCTGCCTTACCAAAACTCTAAATTTTTAAAGGTCCTTTAAATAGTGAATGACTTTAAATGACTTTTAAAGTCATTTAAACTCCCAGATCGTTCCTTTGATAGTGAGAACTGTAAATAATGAAAGCGAATTCTAAATGCGTCGTTAATTAGACCTATCAAAAAAAATCGGAATCCTTTCTGGAATAAATTTCTTCAACTATTTGTAACACTTTAAAAGTAATGACTGCTTGTTAAATGATCATTGAAACGCAGGTCTCTCAACCTCAGCACTGCCACCATTTTGGCTGGGTCATTCCTTGTCGTGTGGGGCTGTCTAGGCATTGTGGGATGTACCCTGTCCGCGAGATGCCATAGTGCACAGCCCACCTCTCACCCCCACCATGACAACCAAAAGTGTCCCCAGATATTGACAGATGCCCCTGGGGGCAAAAACATCCCAGAGCTGGGAATCAGTGTAAGAGACCACAAATAGTTAACCCTGTGTTAAGTAAGAGAAATTGAAAACTCAGCCTTAGATATTTCAGGATTCTAGCCAACACATTTACTTTTTTTTTTTTTTTTTTTTTTTTATTTTTTATTTTTCTTATTTTCCTGTTTAAGAAGTTTGAGGACACATTTACTTTTGACAGAGATTTTCCTGTAAGTGTAAATGGTTAGATGTTACGTCTTAAGTTCTCACCCCTATTCTTGCTGCGTTTCAGCATTTATGCACGTTTATGTTTCAGTGGGTCGCACTCATTCACATTCATACATTGCATGAGGCCTCTCGAGAGGGTCATTCTTGAAAATCAGAAGCTCCGGAACTTCACAACTTTAGGCCTCATTAGTCTGAAATGATAGGAATTATTTTCACTTAGTTTTCTTTTTTTCTTTTAAATAAGAAAAATCAAATAAGCATCATGCTTGATGGAGTCGGGGAATGTTTATGATACAGAACCATTGAAAACACTCTAAAATTTGTCTCTACTTTAAAATCCTCTCTACATGTTTAAAGAGATCTAATAGGTAGAATAACTCTTTTCTCTAATTCTGATTCCTCCGTGTTTTTCCTACGAAAGAAATTATTTCTCTACTAGCTAACATTGTCGTAAGATTAGTATTAATATCAACTTACGTAAAACAACTTCTTCCAGAATAGACACATTTTTAATGGCGATAATGGCTTTCATAAATACAGGACATAGTAGATAATGAAATATTAATTAATATCAACATGACTGTGGCCTCTTCAGTATTTTTTAAACATAAAATTCCTTCTGCAGACTTGTCCCTTCTCCCCTGTCCCAGTCCACAGCTTCACCAGCCTCTTAATTCCTCGAGCCCGCAGAACTGTGGGCCACTTCTAAGCCTTTGCAGTGGTCTTTTCCTCTGCTCCTTACTTTGCTAACTCTTTTTTTTTGAGACAGAGTCTCACTTTGTTGTCCAGGCTAGAGTGAGTGCCGTGGTGTCAGCCTCGCTCACAGCAACCTCCAACTCCTGGGCTCAAGCGATCCTCCTGCCTCAGCCTCCCGAGTAGCTGGGACTACAGGCATGCACCACCATGCCCGGCTAATTTTTTCTATATATATTAGTTGGCCAATTAATTTCTTTCTATTTATAGTAGAGACGGAGTCTCGCTCTTGCTCCGGGTGGTTTCGAACTCCTGACCTCGAGCAGTTCACCCGCCTCGGCCTCCCAGAGTGCTAGGATGACAGACGTGAGCCACTGCGCCTGGCCGCTTTGCTAACTCTCGTTCATCTCAGGTCTTTGCGAGATTTCTCTATCATAGTCACTCTGAAGCCTCCTATACTCTTCTCATTTATAGAATTTTTACGGTTACAACTGACGCTCACTTGTGTTCCGTTATTTAACAATAGTTTCCTCTTTAGACTTTAAATGCCATGGAGGCAGGAGACTATGGTTTTTTGGTTATTGGATCCCTCTCTCCACTGTGGGATAACCTCAATCGAAGCATAAAGCTTCGATACCTACTTTCTGCTGAAATTATTCCTGCGTATCCATCTACAAATACACATAGGATAGCCAGGCTTCCTTTAATTATTGTCTTAGAGGTTTGTTTTTTTTTTGGAAATGTAAGATACTGTATGTCTTAGAGTTTAAATAAATTAAAGCTTTATAGTTTCAGGTTGTGGTTGCCAAATATTAGTGCACCAACTAAGAGTCCAGATGGTGTTTATCTGTATTAGAAACTTAGTCTCAGATTCTTAACTTTCCTGTCTTCTAGGCCTTTCTTCCTCTTCTTCTTCTTCTTCTTCTTTTTTATCCCTCTTGGATCTAGTAGTGGTCTGGAAAAGTTCAGGGTCACAGAACTGTCCCTGGGATCAACTCACTTACTTTTACAACTCTTCTGTATAGTCTCCATGTTGATCTTTGTCTTTCAAACATTATAATCTTTGGAATCTAGTCAATATCACAGAGACCAGTTACAATCCATACCCTTTGACATATCCAAGCTGCAATTGGGATCAATATCAACTTAGATGGTAGCCTCGTTGGCTTTGACTATGGGTTACTACCTGCTGGTTAAGGGTCTTGATCAGCCATCTAGTCTTTCTTGTCTCGGGTAGTATTTAGTGTTGGTAATACTGTCAGGAAGAAGCCATACAGTTGACTTGTTTAGATTGGTTGGTATGAATTTTGCTAAGTTCCACTGCTCAACTCAACTCTCCTCTGGCCAAGATTGAAGTTCTAATCCCGGCACATGATAATTTTAGTGATGTGCTCTTAGGAAAATTCTCCAGCTTCAAGCTTGCACTTGGAGAGAGATCTTTGCAGTTACCTCTGCACTGTACTCATTCTCATACCACCACTCATTGGTGCCATAACTCGCTGACTGAGCTCTTACTACACGCCAGGCACCATCCTAAGCCCTTCACACACATCATCTGTCAGGGTTATTCCTCACAGCTGTCACGTGAGGGAGGGTGTCACCATCACACCTCTGTGTACACATGTGACACCCAGGCAGAGAGAGGCTTAGTAACTTGCCCTAGGCCGCATGTTAAGTAGTAGAGCTGAGATCTGAACACCCATTTTCATTAGGAATAGCTGTAACTTCTGGCGGAAGGATTTTTGTGGTGGTTTTGTGTGGGACCCATCACTGCATAGTCTTAAGTCTGTGCTGTCCAGTATGGAACCACTCTTATGTTGCCATTTAAATTTAAGTTAATTACAGTTAAAAAAAAAAAATTAAAAATTCAGTTCCTCCATTCCAGTAGCCACTTTTCAAGGGCCGAATGGCTCCCTATGAGTAGCGGCTGCCATATTGGACAGTGCAGGCATGGAGCATTTCCACCCTCACAGGAAGTGCTGCTGGGTGGTACCGGTCTGGGGTATTCAATCAAACGCTGGTGTCAGGAATAGGGCCAGCCTGGCAGGGAAAGAAGCTCTGAAGGATTGCTCACGTGCAGAAGTTTGGGCCAAGACCCAGAAGGTCCTGATTCAGTGAGTCTAGAATGGGAACTAGAAATGAACATGGGTTAAAAAGCTACTCAGTTGATTTTTATACACAATCAGGTCTTACATACAGCTTGTGACTAGTCAACAAAGGTTGGGATCTCCCCAAAATTACCTGCACCACAGGGCTGCAGCAGAGAGCTCTAAATTCCACTTGCTAATGGGGAGAAAAGGATTTCTTCCCCAAAGATACGTTAACTAATGACCTACCCATACATGAAAAGTAATGAAATGAGCATAAACGTGAAAACTCTCTGATCTTCCCTCCCCAGATAAGCATTGGGAAGGGAAGTCAGTCATATAATTTCAAAGCTCTGCTCACGTCTGCATTAAGTTGAAAACATTCTAAGCACAAAATATGCTAATGGATTTTCTTAAAAAATTAGAGAAACTGCCAGACACATTTTCACATTTTCTAACTTTGCCGGTAATAAGAATGAAAGGCGCCCACACTCAAACACCTCTTTTCAAAGACACGTTCAATCTCATTTCTGTGCGCTTCTGTTTGTTCATTCACTCAACAAAAATTTTAGAAGCGCATAAATGCGCTGGACGGTATTCTAGACGCTGGATATGCAAACAGAGCTCCTCGTGGAACGTTCTAGTGGGTTTATGTGTGTGCACACGCAGAGCCCCCGTGCGTGAGGGGGAGGGGCAGTCCGACAGGAAACCAAACCAGTGAGTTAGATGTATACCCTGTGGGAAGGTAGAAAGTAGTTAGGACAAAAATAAAGCAGGGATCAGGAATAATGGAAGGAGGTAATTTGTAATTTTTTGTAATTTTCTTTTTTTTGTAATTTGTAATTGTAATTTTTAATAACATGGTTAGGAAAGGTCTCACGGAGAAGGTAATGGCTGTTGACGTCTCTGCATAACTGCAAAATGGGTTTTTTTCAAGCTTCCGGAAATTTCTAGCAGCTTCTGCTGCAGCAGGAGTGCAGGTCGTTCACCTCCCACCCCCAAAGTAAAGTCGGGGGGCTTGTCTCACCAATCTCATCAGTTTTCCGTCTGGGATTTGTCTTGGCAGCCGTGTCCCCAAAGCCCTTGTTGCAAGTGACATCACCCTCCTGGTGCCTTGGCAGGTGACTCTGCATGGCAAATCCTACTAAGCCGTGCCTTTCTTTAGCCGCCGTGACAGGTCTGTAGTTTGTCAAGCTTCCAGCAAGCTTTGCGACTGCACTAGAGAGGTAGTAGTGAGCAGACCTCTGACTGCAGGCAATTTAAAAGAGCTTTCTTTTTAAGAGCCAGAAACCCTTAAAATATGCAATTAAAAATTGTGTGCATGCAGAGACCTTTTTAAGGCCTTTTTAGATAGAGCTAACCAAAAATAACCTTCCTTTCTGGGTGCCAGGCTCCTGGTGCCAGGGGTATATGAGAGAACTACTTTTTCTCTCTCCTTTTTTTTTTTTTTTTTATAACATATTTGATAGAAATGAAATAGAACCGATGGGGTGATGGGGAAACTGTAGCCAGAGCAGGACATAGGAAGTGAAATGAGGAGAGAGGGAAGAGTCAGCTAGCGGAATAATTAGGTCCACTACTTGGGATAATGGGAACAATTCCAGTGAGTTTCTCAGTTGCAGAGAAGTATCTAACAAAACCTCCCCCCAAAACTTTTTGATTTGTGCCTAAAATGTCATTTTTGAATGTATCAAGAAAACTCAATAAAACTTTAGATAGCATGTTTAGAAGTTATTTAGCTGTATTATCTAAATATCTGTTAATTTATCTTAAATAAGACAGCTGAATTTAGATCTGTGTGGCTCTTGTTAGTAACTACTTAGGTTAGTTGGGGTTTGCTTTTGGTTTTTTGTTGTTTTTTTTTTCTTTCTTTTTTAATATCCTAAGCTACATGTCCTAAGCTTTTCAAAACAGTAAATATTAGCAGTGGGTATGTGTTGACTATTTCACAGATCATTAAAAAGTGCCAATAAGCAGGGAAACTCAATTGAATTTAGAGTTTAAAGTTATGACCCTTAATTTTGAAATAGTGATTCTGCATTTTTGTGACATTATTCTTTGTGACCATAATATATTTTCTGGTATTGTCTGTGCATTTTCAGCCTGAGTTTTCTGTTTGATTAAAAACTAAAGGTTGGCTGGGTGCGGTGGCTCACGCCTGTGATCCTAGCACTCTGGGAGGCCGAGGCGGGCGGATTGCTCGAGGTCAGGAGTTCGAAACCAGCCTGAGCGAGACCCCGTCTCTACTAAAAAAATCAAAAGAAACTAATTGACCAACTAAAAATACATATACAAAAATCATCCGGGCATGGTATGCCTGTGGTCCCAGCTACTCAGGAGGCTGAGGCAAGAGGATCACTTGAGCCCAGGAGTTTGAGGTTGCTGTGAGCTAGGCTGACACCATGGCACTCTAGCCTGGGCAACAAAGTAAGACTCTGTTTCAAAAAAATAAATAAAAAAAATAATAATAAAAACGAAAGGTTTTGCTCCGTTGCTTTTATAAGAGGAAGCCAAGCCCAAGGCAGCATATTGGAATCTATATTGCAAAAACAAAAAAAGACACAAAACAGACCAATCCCATTATCTGTGAAGGAGCTTGTGACATGACAGCTCTCCGTTGCTGGATGTGAACTGTACCTAAGAAGTGTGTCACACAATTGGGACCAATTACATCCTTCTCTAGTATTTTCTTCTGGACCCTCCAGTTGATGATACACCCTGTGTATTAAATACGGTACCATTGTCCAAAACAGTGGTGCCTAGGGACACCCCTGTTACTGAAATCAAGAGAGGACAGACTTTTTTTTTTTTTTGGAGACAGAGTCTCCTTTGTTGCCCAGGCTAGAGTGAGTGCCGTGGCGTCAGCCTCGCTCACAGCAACCTCAATCTCCTGGGCTCACGAGATCGTCCTGCCTCAGCCTCCCGAGTAGCTGGGACTACAGGCATGCGCCACCATGCCTGGTTAATTTTTTCTATATATATTAGTTGGCCAATTAATTTCTTTCTATTTATAGTAGAGACGGGGTCTCGCTCTTGCTCAAGCTGGTCTCAAACTCCTGACCTCGAGCAATCCTCCCACCTCGGCCTCCCCGAGTGCCAGGATGACAGACGTGAGCCACCTCGCCCAGCCAAGAGAGGACTTTCTCAAGACATGAATATGCCCAGAGACTCCAGCACGCACCCTCTGAGAGTTATCTGTGTGTTTTCTATTCAGTTCACCTTTTCACTCATGGTTCCTTGTGCTTTTTCTCTTGTTTTGACCCAGGCAAACCCTTTTTTACACGAAACCCTTCCGAGTTGAAAGGCAAGTTCATTCACACGAAGCTGCGGAAAAGCAGCCGTGGCTTTGGCTTCACCGTGGTCGGAGGGGACGAACCGGACGAGTTTCTGCAGATCAAGAGCTTGGTCCTCGATGGTCCCGCCGCGCTGGACGGCAAGATGGAGACAGGTAGAGCCCACGTGGCCTTAGCGTGTTCTGGGCGGTGGGGCTTCTACCCGGCCTTCGAACACGAACAGGCAACATCATGGCTGCACAGGTGTATCTATGTCCTTCCAGCACCTTGAGAGTGAGCCAGACCCCTCCACTGCATAAATCCATCCCTTGGTGCTTGTTAAAACCTTGGAAGCCATTGTAACTTTGGGAAACTTAGGGTGTTCTTGAGCATAGTAAAGCAGTAATTTAGTGATACGTAGACCTGCTTGAATAAATGAATTCTAAACTTGGATTTCTGCTGTGAGAATATTTTTTTAAGGAAAGCCGCAGTGTTCTTTCGGTGACTGTTACATTCTCATTAGCAGGGGAGACACTGGACGCTGAAAGAATGCTTTATGAACAGCCAGAATGGCTAAAAGAGTGAAATTGAATTGTTCCTAACACAAGTGATAGATGCCAGAGGTGACGGTTGTGCCAATTACCCTGGTTTAATTAATATTCCTGTGTCAGAATATCACTTATCTTACAGTTCAGTTTTATATGCTTCAGGGAAAAGAAAGAAAAATAAATCAATATTAAAGTGTATATAACATTTTTAAAAATTAAAAACTTTAAAATTTAAAAATGTAAATTGAAAAAAAGAATAATATTAAAAATATATTTTAAAATAATATCACTTATACTCTATAAATATATGCAACTATTATGCACCCATAATAATTAAGAATGAAAAATTTTTCACAGATCAGTAATAGAAGCAGTCCCTTTATGCCCAATCGTATCACCTGCAGATCCGGTTTCATTTCAGCTTTGCATTAGTAGAATGTCACGTTGCAGTATCGGTGCCACTTTTCCAGGTGCTGTTTTTTTCAAACCTCGCCCCCCCAACTCTCACCTTTTACAGGGGACGTAATCGTCAGCGTGAACGACACCTGTGTTCTGGGACACACGCATGCTCAAGTTGTGAAAATCTTCCAGTCCATTCCCATCGGTGCCAGCGTGGACCTTGAACTCTGCCGGGGTTATCCGCTGCCTTTTGACCCGGATGACCCCAACACCAGTTTGGTGACCTCGGTAGCCATTTCGGACAAGGAGCCAATCATCGTGAACGGGCAAGAGACCTATGACTCGCCAGCCAGCCACAGCAGCAAAACGGGCAAGGCCAACGGCACCAAGGACGCCCGGCCCAGCAGCCCCGCGGACATGGCTCCGGACGGCCCCCACGGCTACCCCAGTGACACTGTGTCTTTGGCCTCCTCCATAGCCACTCAGCCGGAACTCATAACTGTGCACATAATCAAGGGCCCGATGGGCTTCGGCTTCACCATCGCAGACAGTCCCGGCGGCGGCGGCCAAAGAGTGAAACAGATTGTTGACAGCCCAAGGTGCCGAGGCCTGAAAGAAGGGGACCTTATAGTGGAAGTCAATAAGAAGAACGTGCAGGCGCTCACGCACAACCAGGTGGTGGACATGCTCATCGAGTGCCCTAAGGGAAGCGAGGTCACGCTGTTGGTGCAACGAGGAGGTACGTGGGTTTGTTCTTTTTTTTTTAGCCCCCAAATCATTGCTTAACTTACTGGTCTTCAGGTGACTCTTTGTCCAGTGTGACTCGACATGGGTTAGTATCGGTAGCGGCTCAAGCCATGAAAAATTGCAGAGATTAAAATGACTCTTTGAGCGTATCGATAATTTGAAACAAAAAAAAATCCAAATAGATAAGTTTGTGTGAAAAGAAACTCCAGTATTTATAGTATGCTGGGGCATTTAAAAAAATTAAGCCCCAAGTAGAATAAAGGAATCGAGAAAAAAAGCAAGTGAGTGCGAAAGGGTTGAATTCATTTTTATTTAAATGTTTGGAAATGCATTCCAAATGCCTTCTGATTTCTCTAATTGATAGCCTCTTTAGCGTATAAACCAGGTGTCCTCAAACTATGGCCCGAGGGCCACATGCAGCCTGTTGGGGACATTTATCCGGCCCACCACAGGGTGTTTTTGCCAGGGCTGCCTGTCCTGCTTAGTAGCCGCTGCCTGTCCTGCTTAGCAGCCTACTTGTCCCGGGCCCACAGAGGGCACTCTCCAACTGTCTAAGGGACAGTGGACTGGCCCCCTGTTTAAAAAGTTTGAGGACCCCTGATATAAAAGGCTGTGATTTATACATACGCAGTTAGAGCGATGCTTTAAGACATGAATCATATTGTACCTTTCTGGAACCGTTGCGGTTTGAAATCTGTATCCTTTAAGTCTCCTGAACCTGAACCTGGACTGCTCGACCTACGACCTACAAAATGTGGCTCTGGCCCCCACTCCTCCACCTCATCTCGCACTCCTCCCCTTCTTCTTTGGGTGCTTTGGCCACTCTGGCTTCTTTTCTGGAGTTCCTTTAACACGTCAAGCCGTTTCCTGTCTCAGGGCCTTTGCACGTGCTATCGCCTCTGCTTGGAATGCTCCGTTCCCAGCTCTTCCCGGCTGGCTCAGTCTCATGCAGGGCTCCCGAGAGAGGGCTTCTCTGATCGCTTTATCTAGAGTAGCTGACTCCTGGCACCTCCACGAAATCTTCACCACGTCACCCCGTTTCTTCCTAGCCTTTATCATGATCACTGCTGTTAGCACAAGGTCTTAGTTTGTATATTTATTTATTTTTGTCTCTCTCTCGCTAGAATATAAGTTTCGTAAAGCCAGGGCCCATGCCTGCACGTGGACAGCTGTCATCCCCAGCATTTAACACGACACCTGACTCCTTCTAGGCGTTCATGAACGAATAGGTGTGTTAGGTATTGAATGAATGAGAAGGTGTGTGATTGCTTATATTATTTGGCAGGAACAGTGGCTCCACTAATTATATTAAAAATGTCCTTCACCATATCCACATCTTAATCAAGTGCTTGAGAATCTCAAGAGATCTGAGAAATTCTAAGTCTTGAGACATGAAGCTTTCTTCTTTCTCCTCGCCTGCACCCCCGCCGGCCACTCCTCTGCGTGAAATCCCACGACCTCACATTAAGAAATATTTTCCACCATAATGAAATGTCTTCCTCCTGGGATGTGTACTTGTGCTAGTGTTGACTGCTCATTTCACACAGTGGGCCTGAGAATGGTTGTTCCCCTATTCCTGGCCAGTGTGATTTATTTCATGCACAACATGCTTGGGCCCTCCTCTGAAAAGAGATCAAGAACCACACTTTGATTTCTTCTTTGTTCTGCTGCCACAGTGGGGCTCATTTCTGTGACAGCAGCCACGTGTTCTGTGATCGAAATGATGGGGGTCCTTGGAAGGGAATCCAAACTACAGAGCAACTTGTCTATGTGAACCAAAATGCTCAACCAACCCTTCTTCGTGAGCAATTATAAAAGCCACTGGGGGCCGGGCACAGTGGCTCACGCCTGTCATCCTAGCACTCTGGGAGGCCGAGGCGGGAGGATCGCTCGAGGTCAGGAGTTCAAAACCAGCCTGAGCAAGAGCAAGACCCCATCTCTACTTATAAATGAAAAGAAATTAATTGGCCAACTAAAAATACATACAAAAAATTAGCCAGGCATGGTGGTGCATGCCTGTAGTCCCAGCTACTTGGGAGGCTGAGGCAGAAGGATCGCTTGAGCCCAGGAGTTTGAGGTTGCTGTGAGCTAGGCTGACGCCATGGCACTCACTCTAGCCTGGGCAGCAAAGCGAGACTCTGTCTCTCAAAAGAAAAAAAAAAAAAAAAAGGCACTGGGCAGATTTTATTTTTAAGAACGTTATTTCCACCAAACAATTTTGAAGTCTCTTCTTGTACCTGGGTCAATCGACTGCTCAGCTAATTGGTTTTTAAACAGTGACCAAGATGTGGTAGGAAATGACTTGAACATAAGAATGATGATGATGATGGTGGTGGTGGTGGTGCCTGGCACTTACAGACAAACTGGCAATTTACAGAGCACTTTCACCCCTGCACGTGCCTCTCCTCCGATCTTCGCTGCTTCCCTGGGAGATAGAAGGTCCAGCCCACAGGAGGACTGAGAAGTGCACCCTTGCTCTGTGGCTTCCAGTCCAGTGCTCTGCCCTACTTAATAACTCTGAATAGCACTGATTTTTTACATGATTGCCGAATACAGTGGCCAACAACCTGGAAACTTTTCAATAGTTCTTGGTACATCAGACACTGCTCATTTGACAGCCACAAACCACCCTTTTCTCCTACTTCATCTATTTGCTCCTTCACTTCTGCTATCCATGTGTTGAGTTTTTCTATCCCATTAGATTCCCTTCGAAGGAGACCAAATAGAAAGTCTGATTACAACCTACTAACTTACGATACTGCCTGGAACCATGCTGCAGTGAATTTGTCTACACCAGCAAACAATTGATGGTAGAAACATACTCCTTGATTTTAAATATGTTGTGATCTCTTAATTCCTAAGACCTTCTTTTTATTAATGCTATTATATTTTATGGCATTCATATGGAAAGATCCAGAATATATTGTCACGTTAGTCAACATCTACATCGTTTATTCCAGTACCTGAGTAATTTAAAAATCACCGTAACGTCAGCAGTCTTTAAAATACACCATGTGTCTTGTGTTTGATTTATGTGTAAGATAGAAAGTTTGTACATCTGCAGCTGGCAGGCTGACACCAGCTACTATTAATCATTCTCAAAAGCATATAAATATATTTGTTTCTGCCATACATTAGTTGCTTGAATCAGGGCTGACATTTGATCATCTCTCCTGCATGGAGGGGGTATAAGGAGAAGGTTTGAGGAAGGAACAAGACAACTGCCAGGTTAAACGAGAACATAAATAAATGGCCACTTCACTGATTCTTTTTAGCAAATCTCATTTCTGTTGCAACTGCTAGTAAGCAGATTGGTAAACTCATCCCATCCACACGGTTCACCCTACTCAGAAGCTCCTACCTCGAGGATGAAGCTTTCTATGCCTTAAAGAATGGCTTTTCCTACTTTGGGGGCAGAACTCTCTGTGTTTGTAGCATCTATTTTAATTCTTCATCTCCCGGAGCCCATTTTTGACGTGGGTGCTTGTCAGGATCCAGTACGTTTCATTTTTAGCGTTTTTAGTCAGTCTCCCTCCCGCCATCCGGAAATCAAGCAGGGGTTGAAATACCATTTGTAAATTTCTGGGGTCAGGCTTGGAGTTGCAGGGGGCGTTCCTCCACGTGCCCATTCCTGACTCGCCTGCACGTCTCATCTGCAAGAGTAGCCCCCTGCCCTTTGGTCCATCACGCAGGTGCTGAAAGCATGGTGCCTTCTTCCTGTGCCTGGCTCCTGTCTTCCCATCCTGCGTGTCCCGCCCTCCTCCTCTCTCTGCATTTGGGTCAGGAAAGTGCTTTTTGTTGTTTTGTTTTATTTATTTATTTTGCAAACACAACTTAACCATACTTTATTTGACTGCATCTTATTTAGACGGCTTGCACATTTCAAATCCCATTGATCTTTCTCTCTAAAAGGATATGGGGCAATAGAAGAAAATTATGCAGCAATATCCAGTCATCAAAACAGCAGTCCAATATTTTGAGATACACGTGATATTTTATAGATACTCAACTCATATCTGACGTCAGTGTAATTTATGGTTATGTTTTTACAAACCTGAAAAGCCTGTAGCATTATAAGCACTCATTTTAGTGATGTCATGGTGCGCTGAAAAGTAACTCTGATGCACTACCAATTTGATTTTATCTAAGCTCCTGGAAAGTGATGAACTTCATGATTTTTAGACACCATAATAAATATACACATCCAGTCTTACACATGTCAGCCAGTACTATAACACGGGGCAAGGTAAAGTTAAAACATGTGACAAACAAACTCCTTTACACAGATGTGTCAAGCAAGTAGGGGAGGATGATTTAGGGAAGAGAAGCAGAAAATACTAAAACCAATTTTTTAATAGTAATTTTTTCTATGTTTCTTACTATGCCGGTTTCAACTTCAAAAACGACTGTCTGGGTTCTGATTGTTGTTTTGTTTTAAACACAGCATTTGCTTTTAGCAATCCAGCCACCGGATACCAGTGTGAGTCTAGATACTTGTTTGAGGTGTTTGGAAAATCAGGCTAGAAGGTGATTACTAAAGAGCTTTTTTTTAAAAAAAAAAAAATTAATAAAATATACAAAATTTATCCCATAAAGGTTTTTACTTTTTTAAAAAAAGAAATATTTAGGTAGCATAACTACCTGTGCCCCTCTATGTAAAATATTTTGTATATTCAGCTAATTGCCACATGTTAGTGGCGTGACACTCTTTAAATGTGATTTTGTGTTGAGTCAGAACACTGGTTCAGGAGAAAGTTTGTCAATACCTTATAAAAGTGGACAACATATGCTTTGCTTTCGAGAGAAAGTATGTATTGAAAACTTGACTAGAGGTGTCAGGAGCTGGCCTCAAACTCTAACCTGCTGTATACCCTTGAGCAGGTTACTACTTCTGCCCTGACACGCTCATTTTTTATTTAAAAAAAAAAAAAAATGGATGTTTTGAACTGGAAAATCTTTTGAGAAGCCCCTTCTGGCTCTACTTTTATGCCA